ATTAATGGTATGAAAAACACAAGCTATCAATAACAATAATAATAAATGCAAAACATCATCAACATAATAAACAAATCAAAAACCATTGGAGTGGTTACAATCTCAAACAAGGTTCAAATTTCATATGCATTTATCCTAAGGGAAAATAACAAATACTATGTCTAAAAATCAAAGTTAAAAACATCAACCACTTATTATGTGTTGTTGTATGAAATTAACAACTCGAAAATAACAAACAGGAGGTGTGTTTAAGCGAAAATAAACGTAAAAGTGTATATTATTAATGATTTCACAATAGTACAGGAAGTCGGTTTTTTGTTCTTGACCGAGATCATTTCAAGTCCGTGTACAATGTGCGAAAAAAAAGAGAGGAAAAAGATCCTCGTACAACCATAAATTCTACTATTTATAGTTCGGTTGCTTTTGTCTTTTTGTCCGAGGTAGATAAGATTGCATTTAATGTTGAGCAGCTTCAATTAAACGGTGTGTAGCTGAATGAGGAAACATCAATGATTGTTGTTTGCTTTGATGGTCCAATCAAATGTGTACAACTCTTTTTGCTTTTAAAATTCAATCTTCTCGGATGTCGGATGTTTGACTTTCTCGGTCGTCGGCTTCTATTAGATGGTTTCCTCGTTTTGTCTAGAAGTCGGTTTTTCCATCTAGAAGTCGGTGAACAACATATCTGACTGGTACCGACTTGAGCTAAGTTAAAACCACTTCTTAAGAATTTTTAATCGAATAAAACAATTACTCTTCGGCTCTAACCTCATAAAACCAAGTCGGTTATCAACTGAGAGGCCCCCGACATTAGTAGGTATTTGAACTTTTGTTGTCGAAATGGCTGCTGATGTCGCTTTTGTCCTTATAATTCCGACTTGGTGGTTTCCTGACTTTTCTTTACTTTGCGACCGACATGGGAGCACTTGGTCCATTTTTAACTTTGTCTGCGATGGTTACATAACGTTTGGACTGACGTGGCAGTTCTCAAAAGACGCGTCCGCATTTAATGGGTCCAACGGATAGAATTGTCGGACGAGATGGCGTTTCAGGATTTGCCCACGTTTGTTAATCATTGCTGTAACGTTGCACTGTTTAATGACACGTCCGTTACACGCGCCAATCTCGGGTTTTGGCAAGGGTAATAAATCAAAACCTATAAATTGCTATCCGTTTTGACTGTAAAGGGTTTTTTCACCTTCAATCTTCGCATTCTTTGCTTTCATCTTTACATCCATACTCCTTTGAATTTCTCTTTCTGTTTTCATCTCGTGCAATTTGTGTAATCTCTCTGTATCTTCTTCAATTTAGTGCGTCGAAATCCTCGGTAAGGTTTTGCCCTAATTTTCATTTTCTTGCTCGCCCGTTTCAAATTTGTTTTTATTTTCCCGTTAATTTTGGAAGAATGAATTCTCACGTCGAGGATAGCAGTAGTCGTACAATTTCTGAGGTTAGGAATTTTACAGACGAGGATTTGGAATTGCCTCTCGAATATTACCGATGGGATCCCCTTCTGGTTCGAAGGCTGAACTTGAATAGGGACATAGTCGAAGAAGACAAGGTGGTTGAAGATAACGCGATGTCTCTGCCAGATTATTGGAGGCGTCTGGCACGTCGGTGGCCTGAAGCAATTGATGAGTATAGGGGTGAACCGAGTATTTTGACTGATGCCGACATTGTTATACTTTCGGGGGAAGTTTATATTCCTTCCACGGTAAAGTTGTTTGCTCCATACCCGAGTGAAAGGATAACTTGCCCCCCACCAGGCTGCGTGGGTATCTTTGTCGATTCGTTGAGGTCGGGATTAAGATTTCCACTCCCTGCTCTGATTACTGATTATCTGAGAGACTGGGGATTCGGCCTATGTCAAATTGCGCCAAATATATGGAAGAGAATCATCGGCCTCATGGTATTATTAAAGGAAAGAGGTTGGGAGATGCCAACGGCCGAAGAGATAAGGAGCCTCTTTACATTTAGACGGTGTGCCGACAGGCAAGTGGCCGATCCCTTAATCTGTTATGCTTGTGCGGGAAGACCTCAAGATGGATTAAAAATTGGTGATTTAATCACCGAAGTTCCAGATTCTCTTCATGGATTTCAAGAGGAATGGCTCTGGGTCGGCGGGGATTGGCAAACTCCAAATTTCTCTAAACCCTTAATTGATGGGATGTCAATACTCATCAACATTAATTCTGCATTTTGTAAGTTTCTCTTTCGTTTCTTGTACCGAGTTGTTCTGACCTTCATTTTTGTACTAACAGGTCCACTATTTTACTATTTGCAGCCAGAAGAAAGGAGGTGAATCTCAGTGTAGAATTAAAAGGAAGGATTTCTGAGCTGTTCAAGTTGAAGAAAGGACAGCGCAACTTTAAGCTAATTTTGAAGGATACAAGGTTAAAAGCTGCTGGCCTTTGTCCTGAGATTTCGGACGCTTGCTTTCAACCCGGTACGTTCAAATCATAAACTTCCATCTGACTTGAAGTCGGTTATTCTTAAAACTTATTATAATTTAAATTTCTTTGCTTGCAGTTTTACTACCCACTTCTTGGAGTTCTCAGGTTCAAGACTATTCGTGACGCCCAAGCCTTTCGTTAGAAGAGCCCGAATTTAGATCTTCGAACCAAAGTCGGAAAGAGCAAAGAACAACGCTTATCGGAAATGGGTCGCAAGAAGTTGGTTAAGGCTTTCCTGGAAAACCCGATTATGAATCCGAAAGAGACCGACGTCGGTGAAGGTGCAACGTCGGTTGCTGCTGCTGAAGTTATGCAACCGAATCTTCTGATGGTTG